ATTTTACGTGAAATATTGGCCTGAACCTGAGATATAATTTGAATTGGAATTACTTATACATGTGCTCGCAGATATTACGTGTGTATGTTTAAGTCCTTGCTTTTGTCTTACATGTGTTCTTTTTGAAATGCCAGAATTTGAAAAGAAAGATCATGTGAACGATTTTTAACAAATGTCATTGTGGAATGACTATGCGGCCCTGACTGAGCAGAGATGTAAGCGTTTTGTTCACAATCTTAACCTAATTGTATCTAACAACAGTTTTGCTGGCACGAGAAAAAAACAGGAACACATATATATATAATATGTCACCACATTGTACCCAAACTACACCTGTCATTTACATATGTGGTGTTGTTTTAGAGACACTTAGTCTGGCAACATAATCAATTCTGTGAAAGATATAAAATCCAAAAGGAAAGTCATGTCATCTCAAAAGAGCTACTCAGAGTTTTTAGGTGTTCATTCTTAGCCTTTGTTCATACTCTACACCTGTGAAATCAAACTGTAGGACAGTTCAAGAACAACATACCTAAACAGTTTAAGAGGAAAGGACTTTGGAAGACACATGAACTTAATGAAATAGTTTGAGTATGATTGGTTTATGGTTAGATGTTAGCACTGCACCTATCCTATATGATTGCACTTTTTTGGATATTGCAAGACATTGTGTTAGGATATCCTATAAGGTAGATACTGAAATACCCATATGAATTTTATTTTCAAGATCATTTATGGTAAACTTCTGCAAATAGGTCGGCTCTATTTCTAAGTTCTAAATACTTTGAGATATTTGTCTCTTGAAGAAAACACATAAAGGTAATAGGTTGTTTCTATCATTATAGAAGTTTCTTCCGATTTAGCTGTACGTATATATGTTTTTGGAACATTGAAAAACGCGGATAATATTATTTTAAATATATACATATTTTATGAATATTAAAGTTTCAAATGGACCTCTGATATGTTTCATGAATTTATATGCAGTTATCGGGCAGTTTATATGTAGCTTGCATGCAGTTTATATGTAGTTTTAAAACTGCATATAAACTACATGTAGTTTTGAGTAAACTACATGTGGTTTATATGCAGTTTTGAAAACTGCAAATATACTGCATACAAATTACATATAAACTGCATACAAACTACACAAAGATTTGAATCATTGTTTAATTTCTGTTGAGGAAATTCATGTATATATGTTAATATGTTGTTGTTTTTTTATAAGTGAAAATGTATTGAGCTCACTGAACTTAAATAGGCTTCACAAGAACTACATACAGACTAAATATAATTGAGAAAAAATGGTTAAGTAATTCTAGCCCAGGTTGACTTAAATCTCAACTATGCCAAGCGATCGCCAGTTAAGGAAACTCAAGGAAAACTGGGCCTCAAGTAAACTCAATGATACTACATGCAAACTACAGACAGGCTACATACAAATCAACCACACAAACTACATGTGAAATTCATTCAAAACTCAAAAGACTTTGTGAAACATTTGCAACTGTTAGGGCAACTTCACAAGATGCCAGCTGCAAAACCTTGATTCTTGAAACGGAAACTATATAGAAACAAATAAGTAGATACTAGTATCATTTCCTTTCTTCCTGGTCAAATTCAAGTTCAATTTTGCATACCTGTGGGTTTTATTTTTTGTTTCAGGTTAAACAAGTTTAAGATCAACATAAACCTAGTAAATATTTGTATTTATATATATATATATTTAACTGTTAAAACATATCAGCAGGTACTTAAAACAATGGTATTAGATAGATAGATAGATAGATAGATAGATAGACAGATAGATAGATAGATAGATATTTATTTGCAATTTTAAATGCAGAAATGAAATATAAATAAATGAACACGTTGGGGTAACATCTTTCTGGGCAGTGAGGAAAATATTTCTATCTCTAATATTCTACCTTATGCTAGGTAAGGATTTACAAATATATTTATATATATATATACAAATACAATCACAGTTGCCTACGTTCGGATGTATCACTCCATCATCATGCCTTGCCTTCCTTTCTAAGTCTTATATTTGAAGAAATTAATTGTAGTTTTCTCTTCTTATATAATGAATGGATTCATGGAGCAAAGTTTATAGTAATATTTTTTCCACATTGCCATTTGATAGTGTCTCCATTTTTTACATGTACGGTTCGAAACAGCTACAGTACTCAGATCTTTTTATCACCTTACCGAATCTGAAAATAAGCCGTATATAAATAATATATATATATATATACATCGAAAGAATATGTTTATAAATGTTTAAAAAACCGGAGTACAGTAAGTAAACCAAACACTTTCCTCAAGTAACAGTATCACACATGTAAAAATTATCGAACTCATGTAAAGCACCAATAATGTACTATAAGAACAACTCCATGTATAAACTCAAGCAAAACAACTAACGCTAAATATTAACGTTCTAACTGATAGAGCATGGATTTTCATCCAATCCACCTGTAGCATGCACTCATTCATACTACCTTTAAAGCCTCAGGGTACCCAAAAAGATACTGTGAATAGTGACATTTGTTTCAACAACAATAGTTGCCACGAAATATCTAAACACTTCAAAACAAATTTGATTTGTTTATGTTTTGATTTTTTAGCTTGAACATCTAGACATACTTTATCATATAAATGTAGTCTTTTATATCAACGTTTTGATATATATATATATATGTGTGTGTGTGCGTGTGTGTGTTTGTCTGTCTGTCTGTCTGTCTGTCTGTCTGTTTGTCTGTCTGTCTGTCTGCGTGAAACGTCTGAATAGACGTAAAACTTCGCTGCCGGCTCACTTTTATACATTGTATTTTATTAAAGCAGGGGATCACTGAAGTCCCGGGGGGGTTGGTGATCAACCAAGACACCTCCCCGGGACCCGTGTAAACGTACCTGCAGGGCTTTGGTGGTGCACCTGGGCGCATTTAAGTCGCAGCTGGTGGCCACCATAGCCCATATATATATTTACTTATATTTGTTGTCTAATTGAACGTTATTTATGGGATTCAGTTTCCGATGGATCACTACAATGATCCAGTTCTTGTCTGGTGTGATTTCCATGGTGGCTCCGACATGGTGCCATGGAGCCGAATGAGGCAACCCTGTTTAGAGTGAATGAGGACAGACCGGACGTCTGAATTTACACATTTTAATTTCGTAATTCGTTTAAGTATAGTGAAACAGTTGGCCTTTCCGTTCTCCACCATTCTGCGAGATCCTGCCGCTCCAGTTATCCCTTTGAACGTTCCGATTTCTTCCAGCGTTGCTCAAGAGAGGCTGACGAAAAAGTCAAAGCTGGCCTTTTATGACAGAGAGTGCGCATGATCGCATGAGATCGTATCATTTGGCACTTTAAGGCTACAGGCATGTCCTCTTCCTGCAGGTATGGGCTTTTTGGTTTTGGGTGAAGTCAAAAATATTGTGCACCTACTGTAATTCCCTTGAACTTGAACAGCATTGAACAGCTATTTACTGCCCATGTGGCTTGATCGACATCGGACCCGTTTGAGGGAACAACGCACGAACTTTTAGGTTTGAACTGAATCCCATTTTATTTTGTGTTGTTTCATTTCTCTTCACCAACTAGTTCCCCAGTCGGTCCCCTATTTCATGCGTTCTTCTCGCCCCAGGTAGGTTGGGTCCTGTGCGTGCCTAGGTAGGCGCAGGTTTCGCTGTGGTAGGTTGGTTCAGGCGCTTCCGTCCTTCCCCCCCTCCGCTGGTCTTTTCCGTGTCCGTCGGCCTCCGCTTTTCCTGTCCCTTGCCCTTTCAGGGTTTGCCCGCTCCGGGCCAGGTGTGTTGGTGTGGGTGTTTGCTCTCTCCCGCCTCTTTTGCGTTCCCATCCTCGTGTCCCGGTTAAGTAATCTATCGTTTCGTTTTCATTTTCATTTCATCTTCATTCCCATCTTCATCCTCACCTCTACCTCATTTGCAAGCAAACCACTGTGAAACGTCTGAATAAACGTAAAACTTTGCTGCCGGCCCATTTTTATATATTATACTTTATCAAAGCTGGGGATCACCGGGGTCCGTGATCAACGAAGACACCTCCCCGGGACCGGTGTAAACGTACCTGCTGGGCTTTGGTGGTGCACCTGGGCGCATTTAAGTCGCAGCTGGTGGCCACCATAGCATATATATATATATATAGATTGTTTTGTTTATATATATATATATAATTATATATATATAATTATATATATGTAAATATATTCATGTTTATATTCATATATATATATTCATATTTCTTGTCTAGTTGCACATTATGTGATTCAGTTTCCGATGGATCACTACGATGATCCAATTCTTGTCTAGTGTGTGGGGATATCAAAAAGAGGGGTGCCCGAAACCTTAAAAACTAAGCCTCAATACAAATTTTTCGGGCACCCCCTATTTTGAGACATGCCCTTTTTTCAGACACACAAGTAAATATTTAATCAGCAAGAAGTAAGTGATCCAACGTGACAAAAGTAAATACAACAATGAAAATAAAATAAAACTTTTACAAGTAATTAACCTAGTTTATCGATTTACATGCAATCACCTTTTTAACTTTTAACCGGAAATCATTCAATATTGCAAGCGAAGTGAAAAATAACCCTACCAATGCCTTCGGCCAAATGCCTGGTTACAATGATGCATTTGACTTAAACTCCAAAAAATACTGTCCCAGAAGTAATGTTAATTTGACAAATAAGTCCACAATATACAAACACGAAAATGTCACAAGTAATTTGATTCCGTGCTGAAGTAACATCAGGAGGAAAACCTCACAAGTAATCTATTTCGAACCCAAAATCTGAACCAAACATAAACACATACAAAATCATGCGCAATTCTGTCTTCATATGTTAGAAAATAACACCAAAAACATTTTTTTAACACACACATACTGTAAAAAAATGTCGAAACACTGATGAACCAATTGAATGTGGGCCATAGTCGGCTTGAAATATTTTCGGGGTGATGTCGGTGTTAAGGACGCCCAGGATACCAGCAACGATCCCAGCAACGATCAGAAGGACAGCCCGGGTGTGCAAGTGACGATAGGGTGTTGATAGTGGAGCCATTTGTGAATTCAGAATTTCCTTTTTTGCCACGTTGAACTCCAGAAAGGCGTGCGTAGATGCCCTGTGGTCCTTTCGGTTGCTTTCACTCAGCGAGCAGCAGGCTATATAATAACAAAGATTGTTGGACCATCTTTGTATTTCAATCTGGATGTTTTTTTTGGTTCATTGCCAGTAGGACTCTGCTTGCTCCAAGTGCAGGCCACCAAAAAATGTTTTCATTTGAGTGTAATTAACCGACCCAATCAGGCTGATATCATTTTGTATAATATGTTTGCGTACATTTTGTGGTTAAAAATTCGAAGGTTGCCTTGGATGGTTCCGCATATGGGATGTAACCATTGCAATGTGTGGATGCACGTGTGCTCCTGTTTGCATTGTGTATATGCACATACAACTGTCAACATATCATAAGGGCCATGCATGTTCTAGCGACTTACCTCCGGTGACTGCAAAAAAGCTGCGGCCACAGGAAGATAAGGGACATGTGGAAGCCTCCAACGCACCTTTTATGGAGGAGGACATAGCAGCTGAAGAGATTGAAAAGTGCTGATACATGTCGTAGATTCACCAATTCTTTGTCATGGTCATTTTCAAACGCCTGTTGTTTCTTGGTGGCTGCCGTTGTTGCACACTTGTGGTCAGTCTTGACCCCAAAGAAATAACTTGTCTTATCACTTATCAGATCATTGCAAAAGTGTCATCAATGAAATCAACATGCACCAAATAGCAACAACCATACGGAGTGTGCAGCCGGTTTGCCTTCAAAACGCCAGCTGCTTCGGTTGAAGTATGTTGTTTGTGATCTTGCCATGGTCCTGCACATCCTGCCTGAAACTGAACCTTTGCCTTGTCTTTCCTATTGACCATTGTTTACGGAACCAGAGCTCAGCTCCAAAAGCCCCGAAAAGTATTGAAAACCAGGCCCGCGGGTTTGAACGCCTTGCGCCACTTGGCGTTCCAAAATGAACTGGGGTCCAGTGCTTGTTCCCGAAATGCCATCGCTGAGAAATTTAGCGGCTGAGCTGCCTTAGGACGACATTGGCGACCAGCAACTTGCAAGTCTCGTGTATGGATGACTCGTTCGTTTTACACTCCCACCCGCCCCCCCGATACAACCATCAGACACGGCCACCGCTGACACGGCTGCTGGTCTTTTGAAGCCACGGATGATGATTCGCGGATGATGATTCACATTAGAATTGTGATTAGGGAACTTTTTTCGAAGTTGAAGTGAAGAGTGTGGTATAGCCGGGGATGCGGCCTGCACGCGGGCGTGCCTGTGAGCCTGCTCTGGCGAAACTTGGCTGTAGCCATGTGCTTAAGTTGAGTTGAACACCGGCCAACTTCCAGCCAACTTGGCCACTTGGCTAACAACTTGGCTCCAGGACGTGAAAGGGAGGACATTGACGAAATGAGAGGGCGGACGCTAGGCTATAGTACGCCGGTGAAATCTCTGAACCTGACCAGAATCTTATTCGCAAAGTGGGCCCGCCGACACAGAAGAGGTTTTTGTTGGAGCTGGGAGGGTCGAGATGTGCTCAGTCAAGCGGATCGTGGAAAGGTAAGACTGTAAGGCTGGGGAATAATTACATAAGGGTGCCAAAATGGAGCCGTTGAGGAGGGCGACAATGCAAGGATTGTGGAAGGGTAAGATTCAAACAAAAAGCGGTCCCGACAGGGAGCGGGTGGAAAGGCATCATGAAGGTATTTGTTCGAGCTGCTGCGTAGAAAAACGGCAGATCTGCCAGCGATGTTTGATTTCCGGAAGTATACCAGATAACAAACAGATTTCAGAAATGTGCCATACAAAACAGATGGCATTTTCAGCTTCAATATCTCGCACATGCTCGAAACATGCCATCTGATTGTGTGTAAAAAATGGGATTGGAACATATCGCAATGCATCGACGAAACACGTTGACTGCCAACTGTGTGTGTGTGTGCGTGGAAGCACTCCCCAGGCATTTTTTCCCTCAAGGGCCCAAAGTTTTGCATTCTTTCCAGCAAATATTTTGCAGGAACGCATGCCTAACATGGAATCATGGAACCCCCAAAAAATAGGCCTGGAAAGTATATAAGTTCTTAAATGTAGCTGATGTTTCAGTCAGATGGCTGCGGATAACTTGTATGTTTTGACGCCTCCCATCTGATTGTATGGGGCATTTGGTCAGGCAGAAAAAAGTGGGATATTTGCAGCAACAGATGGCACATTGACGTCCTTTTGTGTATGCCATCCGTTCGTAACCTTGTATACATTGAGCTCCGGCCGGCTGCTGATTATTGGTAAGCCACGGGTATGCAAAAGGTTGCGCCTGAACAATTCTGCACTTGTAACGTCTTGTAACGCCCTTTAACTTGCAGCCAGTCACAATGGGTATGCAATCCACGTCCTTCTGGGGTGACCGCACGTCCTTCTGGGGTGACCGGCGAGGACGCATGGGCCAGTGATGGGCAAGTTGGTGCACTCAAGGTGTTGAGCACGGCCGTGTGATGATTTGTGCCTCGGCCTGGGTTCAGCAGTTGGGAAGGCAATATGCCAGGTGGTGAATCCCAGCATTTTCTCATGTTTTCGTTCTCTCCTCCTTCTCCTCATCCTGTTGATTTCTTTCGTCTTTGTAGCATCAACACATGAGACAATAGTCGCCTGCGCAGACGGCTGGACCTCACCATGTAAGGTATTTCCGATATATTCCTGAGTTGCTAAAATCGTGAATGTAATATCGTGTAATAATTTGAACCGAACCCCCCCAAAAAAATTGCAGCTCTCTACCTCAAACGGGCCCGCTCCAAAGCAAACTGCTTGAACCCCGCGTTGGACCCTCCACGCTGGTTGGAATGGGGATGAAATCAATGTCACTGCCAAAAAGCAAACAAGACATATGTAGCATCATGCCCCGATAACCACATGGACAATCATTTAGTTTCAACAGTGTCAATCAAGTTTACAGTAGTTTAAAAGAGAAACAAGAAGGATCAGTGTTTCCTGTGGTTTTGCCATGAAGCCAAGCGGTTGTTTAAAGCAATTGTGGGATCGCGTTATTGCTGGGTCAACGGTATGCAAGGCACACCTGAACGTGTTCCAGGGTTCCTTGAAATTGAAATATGTATAATGTATCGAAGAAGTATCGGTCTACCCGGCCACGCAATGTTGACCCCCCGTACACAACAAGAACCTACAAGAAATGTCACAAGATATCATTTATGCCAGAGAAAATGTTTTCATAAGTCAGACGAAATTGTAATGCCAGACGGTATGCCAGAGAATCTGGCAGAATATCATTTGAGAATATACGGGTAAGATATTGTCGGAAGGTATGTCAGAACACACCTCAAGGATGAAACATATTGTGCATTTTTCATCATTTTTCCGGGTGGCAGCATTTACTCAGGAGGTTTGTGACAGTGTCGCGGTCCGGGGAAGTAATTCTTATGAAGAAATATTCAATCAAGGCCGTTTTTTATGTTTTGGAATCTATGGGGAGTAAGGAAATCATAATGAGGTACAATAGAGGAGCCAAGTTGAAAAAACAGAAGGTCAAGAAACAATCTTAAGTAGTAAGTAGATTCTATCTAGTTACCCTTTCTTCACACATTGAAGGCTCAAACGAAAATGGTCGGTAGATCATTTTTCCAGCGCAGCAGCGGCACCATGTCGTCATGTTCGAGTCTATAGTACATGACTCGAATGTGTTTATTTAAGTCTTTTGGGCGTACTAGCGTGCAGGCCTGTGCTTTAGAAGCAGAAGGGAAACTTAGTCGAAACCTTCCAAACCTTAGGCTTATAGAAACCTGTTTTTCATCACAACTGCGCAGACACACAGTTTCAGACGATTTCTGCCACCTTTCACCTTATGGATAACCCCGCCGACAAGCTAGAACCCAGGACTCCTTCCTTCCGCGGTCACCTGGTCGGAACATTCCCTGTGGCAAACCTCACGTTGCAGCCCTGCGGTGGAAAAAATCATGCTATTTCTTCTCCCACAGACACGCGCAGACAAGACGCGGACACATGATCTCAGGTTTTTTTCCATCTCTCATGCCGCCCGTGCGTTGCTCTCTGTAGCATTTTGCAGATTCTGAAGTAGCTGTCCGAAGCAACAGCCATAGCTCCTTTCAAGTCACACAGACACAACGATCTTGAACATACATAGCTACAAACATCGATTTTGTGTACAACGTTTCTATAATATTCTTTAATGAAGACAAAACGTCATTGGTAAAAATCAAACAAAAAAGGTACTTTCCTAACCCAAGACTTTAACTCTAAACGAAGTTGCGCTATTGAAAAGCTATAAAGTTTAAACCTCACAATTTGCTTATTGTTCATCAAAGATAAACAGATATACACAAAGATCTTGCCAGGGTGACAATCTAGGTCAAACCACAACTTTTGCAGTTATGACATGGGTTGTTATAATTTCCTATCTCTCAGTACAGGTTCTGAAGTGTGCATAGAGTAGGCACCCGAACCAGCCATCCATGACCATAAGAAGGCCTTTGCAACGGGCGCGTCCCATGCCAAGCACTTTGGCCTTGCCTAGAGGCATCTGTGCCTGTCTAGCTTCTAGCACCAAGCCTGCACTGTCTGCCTGCTTGCCTTGCTACTCTATCGCTTTCATTCATATTGGCTGTATGCCTCCTACTTTGTTTCTCCTGCTCTAACGTTCCATTCGATTATAAAAAATGTTGTGCAGTGCAGGTCTACCTTGTCAACGTGGCTGTTTGCCTACTTCCTTATGTCTGAGCTGACTCCCTGGAGCAGAAGGATTGGCAATCGAAGCCATGCTGTAGAAAGAATCGATCGACAATGTGAGCACATATATATATGTATATAGCATTTATTTTTTTTTATGCGTTTTTTATTTTTATTTATCTATTCATTTAATTTGTTTATTTGTTTTTTGATTTATTCTTTTTTTAATGAAGTAATAAAGCTATATATTATACACATTAAATTTAATATCTATATATATGTCTTTGCTAGTACAACATTTGAATGCACAGCTGCAACTCTCTGACTGCTCTGCCCTGACCCAGCTGCCTCTCCCTTCTCCCTTGCTGAGCCAAGCAGCCAGCGCTGTCTCCACACGCTGCAGTGCTTCTGCTGCCTGCGCTGCCTGGGCTGCTGAATAGCTGCACTGGTCAGATGGTCTCACTGGCCGAGCTGGCTGGCTGACTGCTCAATCTCCAACAGCAACAGCGGCTGACTGCTTTGACCCTGCCTAGCTGGATGATTTCACTCACCTATGAAAACCCTGCCATATATACATAGGCTTACGTGTATAATCGTGTATATGCATAATCTTGTCAAATTATGTTTGATTAAATAGATTTTGCACCCTAATGCTAAAATACCCCCCTGGTGCTGGGGGGCTTCTCCGGGTGTTTGTTGTTTGGGGGGACGGAGAGCCGACGCCACGAGCCAGACACGGAGACACTCATTGGAGACCGGGAGAGACCTGAATTGCCACACTGGGAGGAGCCGGGCACCACCAGGAAGACTGGGAGACACATGAAAGGAGACAAGTGAAGACAGACAGCCTGATGCCGGACATCACCCGCCACATTGGGAGACAAATGAAGGGAGACAAGTGGATTTCCCGAGACAAAATGAATTGGAGAGGAAGTGCCGGACACCTCTTAAGAAAGAATTGAGAATCGCAACCGTCAACTGTTTGGGGAAAAAGCGCCTTACAAAACAAGAGTGCCTTATTATGAAGGTGTCTCACAAAAGTTGCCCAGAAGAGCGTCCTTCATGTTGCGAAAAAAAATCAGAGGAGTGTGAGTGTGCTCAACCAGGTTCCCGCGAGAGCGTCCATGAGCGTCCCACAAGAGTTTGGGCGCCCAAAGAGTGTCTGAGAAGATTGCCCAAAAAGAGCTATTTTGAAGAGATTTGAAGACTGTGATTCAAGCCTGACAGCATCGTCTTTCAAACGGGGCGAGGAAGTCTAACAAAAGTGCGTGCATAAGCAGAGTATTTTCAAAAGTGTCTTGCAAGATTGTCCAATTTTTTTCAGGCATGCGTGTGTATTCACATGTACATGAATGTGCGTAATACACGTTGCAATTTGCGAATGTTGCGGGCTTGCAAAACATCCACCCGAGCGCACATTGAGATGCTATTGCGGCACTCTCCTAAGAACTGCTCTGTCGAGCCTAGCCTCTAGACGCTCTTGCGGGGCGCTCTTGCAAAACGTGCTTGCTGGAGAATCTTGCAGCCTGTGAACACACTCTTGGTAGAGACTTTCGCTGGCCACTCTTGTTGGGCATTCCCTGAAGACACAAACTTGGCAACTTTCCGACGTTCGTTTAAGAAGACTTGCGGCTTTTTGGAAATCTTGTACACGCGCGTCAAATATGTTCAGCATACGTTGTTTAAAAGCTATAGGCTATACCCAATTCTGTTGCCACGCATGTTTCAAACATCTTGCTGCACTTTTCTGTCCGAATACGTGTTTACACGGCAAATTCAAGTTCGCTCATTTTGTCTAAACGCAATGCGGCCTTTTTCCGCAAGCATACCCCATCAAGCTGGGCTTGATAAGGCTTGAGATCTGGCAATTTTCAAAGATTTGACCCAGCTGTGTTTTCCAGCAACAAAGACGGGTGGGAAAAGAGGCCCTTTATCCAGTGATGGCTCGGGTGCATGTAGCCGAGCCGGCGCTTGAGCGTTTGATCTTTGCAGGATTGAGCCGCAAGATTTAGCCATGGCATGGGTCAAAACCCTATCCTCAGCAGATTTGTTTTTCAATTTTTCGCGTTCAACAATGTTCAACAATCATTGGGCCATACATTCGGCGGTGCTTCATTTTGACCCTCCCTGCTTCACACAGATGTAACGGCTGCAAACTTCCTCGAAGCAGGCGGCTTCGCAGCCCACATCTTTGGCCGAGCTCTGGTTTTGACAATGGTTTTGTTGCAGCAGTTTAGCGCACATGGTCAGGCTTTGGTGACCATTTATTTTTAGTCTGCAGGCCAAGGCTATTCCAGGGTGGTTTCAATTGGTGTTGCAGCATTGTTTCTTCGAACTTGTAGCCACCAAACAAAGTGCTGCCAGAAAGACCAGAGACATTTCTGCGCTCTGTGCAAAGCACGAGGCGGAGACCTTATATACCATAAATTTGTTTCCATCCACGTGCCACGTGCCTGGTGATTTGCTGTGATCAATGTGTCTTTTGACTGCTGATTTGGAAACTCCGAATTTCTTGCTGCCCAGACCAAGTTTGAACTTGTCAAGGACTATAGACGAATGCAGATTGAGTTGAAACAACAAGGGTGGGAGATCAAAAACGGTGGAGGTAAAGTGTGTGTGTGATTGTTGACATGCTCAGTCCACTTCATACATCCTTGCGCAAATATCAATGGAAACTGTCTACTTAACAACATCGCTGGATGTCCACCATGGCAAAATGTCGTCATTTTTTTTGAAATCCGGACATTTTCCCTGACATGGCAGGAGCACACAAATACAAATCAATTTACATATAGATGCCCGAGGAGTTATGCAAATTGTCTAAATGAGAAATTGCCGCAGGTGCTAGCTGCAGCAGTTTGAGGGTCGACATTTCCATAAATCACTCGCACACGAATTTTCCGCAGAAGCATCAAAACAGTCAAGTTGACCCAACTTTCCAATTCATTCGGTTGCAAATAAAAATTCCATGTTTGTTTTTTTTTTTGCAAAGCGGCCACCTTACAAATCATTAGCTGCAGGTTTTTGTGTTTCCTGGCTTCCTAGATCATCCTACCGCGGCCATGTCTTCTATCTTGACTGACATTCCTTTCCAATCATCAATTCCATATTGCCAGCGCAAGCATGCTTTAAGAAATAGGGTCAGAACCCACGACCATGTGGGCAACCTGATGCGTATTGGGGTTTCTCCGCGTCTGGTTCTTTGCTATGTTGTATGTTTGTGAAAAACTGAGTTTGATACATGTCTATACCGTGTGGCTATATACATATCCATCTAATTATATATCTAAGTTTGAATATTCTCATGTTACTTGTTACACATGGATATTCAGGCATATTCACGCTTTCTGTGGCCAATGTAGTTTGGAGAGGTAACATTTGTTTCCTTGTGTTTCTGGTTTGGCCATCATTGGTTCTGGCAAAACTTCTGCGCGATCGTGTCGGCTCTCCCTCGACCGAACCAGCTTGAATGTATACGACACTTTCCTTACACCAAAAAAAGAGGAAATTGTTTTCCACCTTTGAGTTTTGCATTTTGTTCTGCATGTGTCTGCGGTGTTTGTAAATTTTGTATTTCACCTTGTGCAAAGGTCCACCGGCATGTGCGTTCGGAAGCTGAACTGCAACATCATGGAGAGGAGACAAAACGTCAACTCTCAGGGGAAAGGCAAGTTCTTTGTCCTCGTCGAAAAGGTGTTTTGTTGTTGAAAGTTGAGGCCCCCCAATTAGCTAATTACTGTACATCGTTAGCCGTTAGCCGTTGTTAGTGCGCACCAGGTCCTGAACCAAAATCTGATTTGTCTTGCAACAAGCATTGACAACTAAGTGACATGGGGGGGCGTTCATCACCAATAAGAGTGCATTGCTGCGCTTGTTGAAATCACGAATCATGTCTCCTCAGCGATGCAGGCGGCCAAAAAGATAAAAACCAACATGAGCATCACAATCCCTTTTCGGGCGAATGGCATTTTCCAGAAAAGGTTATAATCAGCTGCAGCTGCAACCACAACAAATAAGCGCAATAGCTCCCATTCATGGACAACTCCTGATTGAAAGTTGGGTTACAGTAATATATGTTTTCTATACTATGCAGAACCTTAAATATTGCAGGTATGCAAGTGAATTATGTTCCCTCCGCCGATCCGAACGGAATTAGGGTTTGATGTTTTCATTGTTCTGTTCTTTCCATCCTTACAAATGCTTTGGCACTATCCAAAAAATGTTGGAGGAATGTGCATTTCTATTGTGTTTCAAAAACTTGAATTTAATTTTCCACACTGTATGGCGATCCCAGATCCAAACCTTAGATATATAGTTGGCTTTTGTGCGCCCCATGAGCTCTACCACAAACCACAGGGAATCCATGACATCTAGTGAAAATACAACACCTTGATACACCACCTCACTTATTTTGTTTCTTACATTTTGTCCAAGAAAGCTTTGGGCATCCTCCAGCCCAGGCCTTCAGATGCTGGTGGGGTGGCTGGAGGGCTTTCTAAAGGGGAAGACGGATGTGGGTTTGTGCCTGCGTCACCTGTAGCGATGTTTTTTCGACATGGCCAGCCCTGTCTTGTGTCTATGATGTGGGTGTTTCGAGTGTTTCGGAAAAGCTAATTGGGCCCGGCTGAAATTTTACATGATGTGTTTATTTGAAGGGAGCATGCAGTTTGATCGGTTGGCCGTTGGCGGCTTGATGCATTCAGATTGTATGGGGATATGGCTGCGCATCAAGTTGATGGGTTTCGGTTTCAGACTGATTCAGGCAAGTTGTTGGGAATGTGTCCGGGGTCATGAGCCCGGCAATGTCATGTGTATGAGTTTAGTTGCGGAGATGTACCGCAGGCCACCCAGCCGTCCAAAGCTTTGGGAAAGCCACGCGCTTCTATATCTAGATTCAATACATAATTGGGTTTTAATATCGCTATATATATATATATACATAGAGCTATTTTTCCATCGGTTGATTGTTCCATCAATTCTATCTATATTACCTATCTAGCTCTATGTGACTGTGTATCTACTTCTACCTATCATCTAGCTGGCGAGCTAGCTAGCCAGCTATCTATCTTTTTATCTAGCTCCCTAATTTTGATCTATCTATGTTTATTCGGCTATTTGGATCTATCTATTTTGATCTATGATCTATCTATTTGGATCTATCTATTTTGATCTATCTATTTGTATCTATCTATTTTGATCTATCTGTTTACTTTGTATTTTTCTATCTTTTTTTTTTCTATCTTTTTTTTTCTATCTGTTTTTATCTATCCATTTTTCTATCTATTTTTCCCCACATCACTGTGTGGGGTTCTTGTTTTTCGCTTGGATCCCGCCGGGGGTTCCCGCCTCCGCCGGCCTCCGCCGCTTCCCTTCTCTCACAACTCTTTCACATCTCACTCATCATTCACCACTCTACACATCTCACTCATCATTCACCACTCTACACATCTCACTCATCATTCACCACTCTACACATCTCACTTCTCACATCTCACTCATCATTCACCACTCTTCACTGCACCACTTATCACATCTCACTCATCATTCACCACTCTTCACTACTCCACTTATCACATATCACTCATCATTCACCACTCTACACATCTCACTTATCACATCTCACTCATCATTCACCACTCTACACGTCTCACTTATCACATCTCACTCATCATTCACCACTCTACACAGAGCCTTCTGGCGGAGCTGCGGCGCACGTGGGCGCCGCTGGGCCGCGGCTGCCTTTCGTGGGGCAGGCGCAGTACACAGTGGGCGCCGCTGGGCCGCGGCTGGCTTGCGTGTGGCAGGCGCAGTACTCAGAGCCTTCTGGCGGAGCTGCGGCACGCGTGGGCACCGCTGGGCCGCGGCTGCCTTTCGTGCGGCAGGCGCAGTATACACAGAGCCTCCTGGTCGAGCTGCGGCGCGTGTGGGCGCAGCTGGGCCGCGGCTGCCTTTCGTGTGGCAGGCGCAGTACATGCACAGAGCCTCCTGGTCGAGCTGCGGCGCACGTGGGCGCCGCTGGGCCGCTGGGCCGCGGCTGCCTTTCGTGTGGCAGGCGCAGTACACAGAGCCTCCTGATCGAGCTGCGGCGCGTGGGCGCCGCTGGGCCGCGGCTGCCTTTCGTGTGGCAGGCGCAGAGAGTCTCCTGGTCGAGTTGCGGCGCCCGTGGGTGCCGGTGGGCCGCGGCTGCCTTTCGTGTGGCAGGCGCAGTACACACAGCCTCCTGATCGAGCTGCGGCGCGCGTGGGCGCAGCTCCACTTCTCATCACAAGTCATCACAGCTCCACTTCTCACACTTCACTTATCACATCACAACTCTTCACCTCACTTCTCACACACTAACTCATCACAGCTCCACTTCTCACACCTTACTTCTCACACCGCTCACTTATCACATCACATCTCACACCTCACTTATCACATCGCAACTCATCACAGCTCCACTTCTCACACCATCTTTCACACACCCTTTTTGACACACCATCTTTTACACACCATCTTTCACACACACACACAACTTTGTCACCAACCATCTTTGACACACCATCTTTCACACCATCTTTGACACACCATCTTTCACACCACTTTGTCACACACAATCTTTCACACACAACTTTGTCACACACCATCTTTCACACACCATCTTTCACACAGCTTTGTCACACACCATCTTTCGCACACCATCTTTCACACACATCATCTTTCACACGCAACTTTGTCACACACCATCTTTCCTCCACCTCCTCCTTTGTCTTTCCTTCCTTCCCCGTCCCCGCTACAACATTTCTGGCTCATTATTGGAAGAAGTTGACTTGTGGGGTTATCCGGTCCTTTTATTATCTTTCTTTATTTATCCATCTTTCTATCTATCTGTCTATCTATCTATCTATCTATCTACCTATCTATCTATCTATCTATCTACCTACCTACCTAATCTATCTATCTATCTATCTATCTACCTATCTATCTATCTACCTACCTATCTATCGATCTATCTATCTACCTACCCACCTACCTACCTAAATCTATTAATTTATCTCTCTATC